CCAGCGACGGCTGCAGGCAAACGGGGTTGATTTTGGAGGTGAACGAAGCATTTTGGTGGCCCACGGAATGGGAGACCTGGCAAGGTGGTGATGACATTCCTCTTTTTTTCCTTTTTTTTTTTTTTGATATATATTTCTTCCACTTGGTCTCGGTCCAGCCCTGCCATCATCACCCGCGGCCATGCCGAGCCAGTGCCCATCCATCTGCCCCCTCCTCTGGGCTCCTTCCTCTCCATCCTCTTCCTCTCCCAGCACCAAGCACCCCGCACCACCGTCCCCAGGTTCCCCCTTCCCACGCAGCCCCCAGAGCAGCACTGCCGCACCGGCACCTTGAACAGCCAGCGCGCAGAAGGATGCTGCAATTCCACTATAAAGCTATTAAAACTCTACCTCATTAGCAATAATTAAAAGGCGTAGCACACATTCCCAATAGCTCATGCCCGTGGGCACAGTAATTTTTATTTTTTATTTTATTTTCTTATTTTATTTTCTAGGCTCCTACACTCACCATGCCCAAAGGATGGGCAGCATCACCCCTCCACACTATCTCCATCGTGCAAGCAGAGGGGGGACCCAGGGACGGGCAGCACCCCCCTGCCCACCCGGTGGGGAGATGGGGGGGCTTGCCTGCATCCAAGGCACAGTAAAATATTTTACTACAAAGCAGAATTACTCCAAAGACTGATGGGCTGACTTGTGAGACCCACTCACATTTATGGAGGTCGTAAGTTATAGACTCCCGGTGAACTGGAGAAAAACATAACCCTCGCCTTTTATAGGCGAAACTTCCTGCCATATATTAAACTCTCCAGCAAACGGACGGGGGCTTTACTGCAAACTATAACTTTAATGCCTCCCAACCCCTCGGTTAGTTTGGAAGGATTATTATTAACTGGGGTGTGCTTCGCCAGCCCTCGCATGCCAGCGGTTTGCCTGGGTGATGGTGGTGGCTCTTGGCTGGAGCTCCCGGAATGGGGATGGGTGGGAGCGGGCAGGGAGGGTGGGGGGGGACCCCAGTCCGGCAGGCAGGGCTTGGGGAGATGCTGGCAGCTGCCTATGGGGAGAAAAAGCTGCAAGAGGCATTGCATGGGTCAGGCCATGCCGCGGGGGAAGGACCTGGCACATCCCAGGGCATCCGAATGTCACCAAGCCGTGGGGTTCCGCTCGCTGAAAGCCTTTTGCAGCTTCTGCCGTGGGCATCCGCGGGGCCTGGTGCACACCGTGTCTTTTTTTCCACTTCTTGGCCTAAAGTGTTATAGTATGAAATGGAAAAAAGTGCAGGACCCTGCACTCAGTCTGCTCTTGCCCAGGGCTGAACTTTGTTGCCCAAATGGGGGAAACGGGGGGGAAAAAAAAAAAAAAAAAAAAATCCCATTGATAGTAACTGAGTGGAAGGGGGAAAAGGATGGGCAGCACCAGTAGAAGGAAAAGGTGTGGATGCGGAGATGGGGAAGGAGATGAAAGCAAGGAAAATGCAAACAATCCAGTTTGGTTTGAGTGGATTTGGTTTCTCTTTTGGCCACCAGCAGCCAACGAGGGAGGGACGCTGCTGCACCCAGCACGGCTCCTCCACCAGCCCCCAACTGCTCTGGGAGGCTGCATGTGCCCTTTTCCCACCTTAGAATTGTCTTTTTTTGGGGGGGAGAGGGCAGGAGAAGACTTGAGCTGGGAGAGGTGCCCAGCCCAGCACCCAAAGGATGCGTCCCAGGAACCCCCCCAGCCCGGAGAGCATCACATCACCTCCTCCCAGCATCACCTCCTGCCACCTGCCTTTCTGGGGCGATTTGCTCATCGGGGCCCGGTGAGACTTAGCATTTCTCTGTTTGGAGCCAGGATGAACATTTATTAGAATTAAACAGCTGGGAGCAAGATGATATTTAAACTGGTATTAGGAAAGCACCGGCGGAGGGAGATAATTCCTGGGGCAATCTGGCAGCGCGGCGGCCGGGGGGCTCCTCGGGTCTCCTGCCGGAGAGCGATACAGTTAATTTGCAGCCGGAGCTGGAGGCTGGCCTGCGCTGATATTGCCGTGTTATTTAGAAGAGAAAGGTCAGGCTGGAGATTGAATAATCATTGACAAGAAATCCATGGGGGAGCGGGGCGGCAGCTCCAGGCAAGCTCCAGCATCCCTGTGCTGCCTCCCCGGGGGTTTCTTTCCCTCCGCTTTGGTCCCTGTGGGGTGTCAGAGGAGTTTGTGCAGGGATCCTGCCCGCCTTTCTCCAGCTCCAGAATCGCAGCCACTCTCCAGCTGCCCCCTTTTTCATCTAATACCTCCATCTCTGGGGATGTGACAGAGCTGTCCTGGTTTTCATCCCACGCACAGGCTCTTTTTTAAATTGCAAATTATTTTTAAATTTAAAATTACTTTTTGCTCAGAAACATTTTCCAAAAAAAAAGATTTTTTTTTACACTAAAATCCCCAGGAAAACACAAGAAACCACCAACCCTTCCCCTGCTCCCCAGCCCTGCCCCATCCTGGGTGTGATAAAAGAAAAATCCCCATTCTAGCTTTTTTGGAAAGAAGTGCACTAAAAAGTGCAAAAAAGCAGCAAACAAGCAATGAAAAGGAAAGATTGAAAATGTTTTTCGCATGGACAAATCCGTGTGTGCAGGGAAACTGAGGCATGGGGATGGGCGCCGGGAGCCGTGGGGATGCTGCGCATCAGGCATCACCCCCGCATCACATCCCTCCGGCTCCCAAGCTCACACCACCAGGAGCAGGACCGAGCATCAGGCTATTGCCTTCACTCACCCCCCCCACTGCACCCCAAACCCTTCTTGCCCCCTGCATCCTCATGGGGGAAACGCCCAGGGTATCTCGTTTTCCTCTTTTTCCTCCCAAAAAATACGCCAGGTTTGGTTTCAGGTTTTTTTTTGTTTTTTTTTTTTTGCAACAAAAGAAACTATTTATTTGGAATATGCATTACCAGTACAAATCAGGAAACTGTAAAACCTACACCTTGTTAGTATCGTCATAGAACATAAAAGTCTCAATTGGGATCAGAAAGACAGAGGCCTTTTTTTTCTTTACAGAAGCAGAAAAGCTTAAAGTTTCAAAACCAGGTCGGAACAGAGAGTCTTTTTTTTTTTAGAGTTTTTCTTTTTTTTTTTTTATATTTGGAATCCATTAGGAAGAGAAAAAAAAGATGGGGGGGAATAGAAAAGAAAAAGCAACTCAGAACAACTGGATCATCTTTACAAGGGATAGTCAGGGCTTTGCAAGAACAAAAAAAGCAAACCGACAGAACCACCCCCCCCAGGCAATGTCTGATTTACATAATCTTAATAATAATAATAATAATAATAAAGGTGTACGAAAACAAAAGGACTCCAGGAAACCTTGGGATTAAAAATAACACCCCAAACCCTAACCCGTTCAGTGATGTGAAAAGCTCAGTTTTTTAGGAGGTGGTGGGGAGCAGGGAAACAGTTTTAAGAGCAATGCCAGCGAGCGTCTTCCTCAGCGCTTCTCATTGAACCCCACCCTGGAGCCCCAAAATCTGTCCCAACACGGCTGGGGAGTTGCTACATCTCATCCTTTGACCCTCATCCTTCCCCCATGCCGCTGTGCAGCCAGGGCTCAGGGCCAGGCTGGGAGACCCCATCCTCAACAAGGTCCATGGTCCACGGTCGAAATAAGGTTGGTACCTTCTTTGCTCCGAACCCCTCGTTTTTGGGCCAAGAGCTGCGGTTGGGCTGCTCGGTGCCTCCAAGCCAGGGCTCTTGCAGCAAACCCTCGGGGCAAGGGTGCCGCTGGGATTCAGGGCAGAGCATAAGGGCATTGAAACCCACCACCGCCTACCCATTTGGGGGAGGATTCATGCCCTTTCATCACTTCCATGCAGCTCAGCATCGCCCCCAAGCACGGAGACCTGCAGGGGCTCAGCACCGGACTCCCCGTCCGCCCTCGGCATCTCCTCCCCAAAAACCCCTCGCGATTACGTCCCTCTTCGGAGACGTAATCCCCCCGCTCAGCCGCAGAGCAGCCACCTGAGGATCTTCTGGGGTTGGGTGTCAAACGGCATGGGGGCCCCCCCCCCCCCAGAAGAGACACCCCCCTCAGCCCCCCCCAAAAAAACCCCAAAACCCACCACCATCACTTTTCACATCACTTGGGTCACAGCTCAAAAGCGCAGGGGAAGCGGCAAGGCCGTCGTCTCAGACAGGTCAAAATAAACTCAGCATCATCATCAAAGCCCCCCCCCTCCCCTCCCAAATAATGCCAAAAAATAAAATAAAAGGTAATTTCTGGGTCTCAACGTTAAGAAACATAAAGTGTTAGACTGTACCTATTAATGCTCACTATTCCAACCATTTTTTTTTCTTTTTAAAGTTTTACAAAATGAATTACCGTCACTTTTTAAACATTGTGTAAGAAGAAATGAGTGTGCACAACTCTACACTTTTCTAGCATTCTTGAACTAATTCACAAATGCGAGAAAACGGAAAAAAAAACAAACCATGGGAAAAACAAACAAACAAAAAAAAAAGATGAATGTAGGTAGTTTGATGTTATAAACTATACAGGAATGAAGCGCTTGTTGCCACAGAAAGAACAGGGATGGAACCTTCCCCCTGTTCAATTTTGCGTGCTAAGAGGGTCATTTTTTATTCTTTTATTATAAACACTATTAAATTCCGACTGCGTTTTTGGTTTTTTTTTTTTTCTCCTTTATCTGAATATACAAGAACATTCATTATCAAATGTTCGTTATCATCAATACTACAAAGAACGAGACACAAATCGCAAGAAACAATGGAAAATGTTAATAAAGCTGAAAGAATCATCGAGTTTTTTTTGTGGTTTTTTTTGTTTTTATTTTTTTTGAGTTTCTGCAGGTTTTTTTTGTTTGTTTTTTGTTTTTTTGTTTTGTTTTGTTTTTTTGGTATCGAAGTCAGGTTTTTCTGGGCAGAAAAAAAATTAAAAAAAAGAAGAAGAAGAAAAAAACCCACAACACTCGGGGTTGGGGGCAGGGGGGGAAGGGGAGGAGAAACAAAACCCAAAAATAAAAAAAAAGCAAAGAAAAAGGCAAGCAAGCGGCTACGCCAACGCGAACCAGAGGGACCAACCAGGGAACCCAGGAGGCGATTTGCAAAGTACCGTGGAGTGGTGAGTGCCCTGCCCGGGCAGGCGGTGTCACGGGCAGGAGGTGCAGGCAGGTCGGGCAACGGTTGCAGGGCAGGGGAAGGCAGCCCCGGCACGGGCCGGCTCCGGTCAGCAGGTGGTTTCGGCTCATTTCTGGTTGGTTTCCAAGAGGTACTGTGGCATTCCCGCAGGCATGGCACTGCTGCCGCTCCGGAGAACAGACCTGACTCAGCCCCGTGGCCCTGAAACGCTTTGCCAGAACGGTTTCATGTAAAATAAGCTGGAAACGGTTAAAAGGCTGCACTGGGGGAGGCCATGGGAGGAGGAGGAGAGTGGGAAGGTGCGTGGCTCGGGAAGATGGGCAGCACCTCCTAACCATCCTCATGGGGAAATGACCTTCTCGTTGCTCTTAACGTACTCCCAGCCGGGAGGCAGCCCTAGACCTCACATGTCGCATTACGCTCTGCAACACGGTCCACATCTCCGGGCATGGATGCGAAAGGAGGAGCAGAAAGCGTCTCACCGCTGGAGACATAAAAACCAAGCAAGGAGCAGCTTGTGCTGTTTCTCATCCACCTTTTGCATCCTACTCTGATCCCACCAGCTCAGAAATAGACAATCCACTGAACTGGGACTTTTTGTATTTGGGGGAAGGTCACAAATTTCAGAGTGGATGTTTTAGAGCCTTCTGGGCTTGCTCCCCAGGGAAAGGCAGGCTTCACCTCCACTTCAGGCGAGTCATGCTGCTGGCTGCACGCTGCAAGGTGACAGCATGTTGGAGCCGTGGGCACACCACTGCTGCGGCCTGCAGGCCAACCACCATTGTTTTTTTCCAGCAGAAGGGTGGAAATTTTTCTGGCAAAGCTTTAATATTAAATGGTTCCTGCTTAATGTTGCTCTGCGCTGGCAGTTCCCATCTCGAGATGGCTGGCATCAGCACGGGCAGGGTGGGCATGGACGTGCAAGAGCAGGAGATGTGGCCAAGAGGTATTAGGGTCCATCACAAGGTGCCAGACGTGCTGCACCCACACCAGTCCCCAGGACACCCAGGGTCTTGTCGCGGGTCAGCTCAGCCTCCTTGTGCCTGCTGGAAGAACCAGTGGCAAAAAGTACTGCCCCAGCACGAAGCTCAGCCCCTCGCCCAGGGCTCTCCTCACCCTGCTCTTCAACGAAAGCCATGTCGTCCCGGCATCAGCTGCCTGAAGGGGTGTTTCAGCAGGATGAAGCCTTGCTTACCACCCAGCACCGGTTGTCCAAAGAGCGGACCAGAAAAGCTGGGGAGAAAATCCCATGAGTTCTCCCATGGCTTGGGATGCCACTGCACAGAGTAACTCCCGGGATAAAACCAGCAGCTTCAGCAGAAAGACAGCCCCCAAGCAGGGCACCCACCTGTCCTACAGAGCTTCACCCTCAAGCAAACCTGTTGTATTAACCGTTACCAAAAGCACCCGACGCGCTCACCCCACCACATCCAGCCTCCGGGATCCCGCTGCCTGTCCCTCGCTGCCTGGCTGGCAGGGCTTTGGGAATGCAGTGGGTGCCACCAACCTCTGTGGGTCCTGCCTGCACTGGGGAACCCACCTCCTCCTCTTCTGCAGCACGGCACACTCCCGAAAACACAAGCCAACACTCCACAATGCTTTCCTTGCCAGGAAAAACTCCACTGCTGGCCTCCCTAGGTGCTGTGAGAAAACTGCTAGGGTCCCATCAATCATCAACGCCTGATCCCGTACAACACTGCAGAGGTGCTCAGCGCCTTCGTTATCAGCGACGGCCATTTCTCGCCTGCCTCTGCCTCGTCTCCTTCCCTCCTCTCCTTCCTTCCAACAGCAGGCAGGGAGGATGGTGGGATTTCATGGCTCATCCAGGCTTTGGGATGTATGGTGGAGCATGGCAGCGACTGGGAAGTGCTGGCAGTTTTCCCAGGGCTGGGAATGGGCCAGTACCTTTTGGAAGCGAAGGGGAGCATGCCGGTTCCTTCTCTTACGTGCACAGGGGGGCTGTGTTCACCCACCCTGTCAATGGCAGTGCCCGAGGGACAGCTCACCGAGGCAGGGCTGGGTGCAGAGAGGCGATGCGCTGGCTGCAGCCGGGGCCGGTGGAGACGAGGCGGCAGTGGGGCTGTGGTGGCGTTTCCCTACGGAGAGGTAGCGTGAGAGACGGGGGGTGGCGAAGGGGGCTGCCTGCTAGTAAAGGAGCGAGACGTGACTGAGGTACATTTGTGGCTCCTCAGAAAGATGCCCAGTGCGAGGCCATACACTGCTTTGGGGTTGTTTGTGTGGCGGCGGTTGATTTTTGCTTTTCCTCCTTAAAATCCTTCTACCTGTTGACATATCCTTCGGTGGGAAGGGGTGAGGGGAAGGGAGTGGTGTTGTGGCAGTGGCAGGGAGGGGGAGAGCGGCTTCTACCCAGAAAAGAAAGGGAAGAGAGTATAAAGAAGTGTCCAGATTGGCTGAAAAAAGCATCCCGACGAAGAGAAGAGAAGAGAAGGAGTCTTCTTGTGTGTGCTGATTGGGTTCACCTCCAGTCTGACTGCTGCGGTGTTAGGAGAGGCCCCCTCCCCTCCTGCCCCCGCCGGGGCCGGCTCAGCCAGGGATGCAATTTGCTGGGAGATCAGTTGGAGGTATCAGAGTGAACGCTGCCAGGGCCTTCTGTGGGGGAGGTCACCGACGACGGGGTAGTAGCGTCTTGCCAACCTCCATTAGCCTGCAGGAAGGGAGACAGGGAGATGTCAGCCACCCAACAGCACGCCCGGCCCTACCCAAGCCACCCACCCACCTCAGACCCCTCTACTTCTCCCTTGGCAAGGGCTGATGTAGGAGCCAAAGATGTCCCCTCTGGCCCCCCATCCCACCACAGACCATGGGGTTCCATCAGTGGGACCCTGTCAAAACCAGGGGTTTTGATAAATTGTAAGTGCTCATGGAAATTCTGTCCCTTAAAAAACAGGTATTTCTGCAGAAACCCAAGTTCTGGTTGTTTGGGGTTTTTTAAAGCCCAAATAGGACCCTTCCCCATATGGAAGGAGGCAAATAGCAAACACCTCACTCCAGACACCCCAGCCTGAGACGTTATCTGGATGCAGGTGCCATGAACACGCAGAACAAGCAAGGGGTCCCAAGGGACTGCTGAGCCATGCCATGTCCCCCAGCATCGCTCCACATCCCCCCACACTGCCTTTCAGGGCACCCCTCCTGCTGTGTGGTCCCTGTGCAGAGGGAAGCCATCAGCACCAAGCCTTGTCAACATGCTGCCTACACAACTCTCTTGCCAACTTGAAGGCCACCCACGTTTGGGAATTTGGGCCACCTCTCTGCTGCCAACGCAGAGCCTTCCCCTCCTTGCTTTGCAGTAAAACCACAAAAAAAAATCTCTGCCACTCTGGGGTGGGTCCTCCACGCTCCCCGTCACCCTTCCTCGAGGGACCCCACGCCACAGTGTAAAGGAGGTGCCACCACCATATCCCATCTGAGGGTTTGTACAGCAAAGCATGGCGGACAACTTGTTTCTTCTCCTAAAAAAAGATGCACGGCCAAGTTCTCCAGCTTCTCGACAGCAGAGCTACCGAAGGGCCCCCAGATATCGCAGACAGGAGCCGGCAGTGCACAGAAACTGCTCCTCCGCAACTGCCATCCCCTTCGAAGAGGAGCAGATGTCGCACCCAACCTCCCCTGCTCACTCTGACATTGATTCAGTGCTTGGCTAATTATTCCTTCCCAACCACTGCCCAAGCTCGAGTTGGTAGCAGCCGCCATCCTGTTTCAGACATGCCCAGGCTGCTTTGCCCTCTCTGGCTGCCTGTCCCACTGCCTCCAGCGCAGGGCATCCATCACTGGCTCCAACAGCTGGGACCCTGCGGACCCCCAAAGTGGGGTAAGGGTAGGAAAAGCTTCATCGCACCGAGCAGCTGTCCAGGACTTGCCACTGGGTTGTCCACGCTGCCGACCAGCTCCTGCCTGCCCAACAGACAGCCGAGATGGGAGCAAAGAGCTGACCACGGGCAAGCCGTGGGAACCCACGTTCTGAGGGATGAAACCACCTTGCAGCAGGACATGCACAAAGCAAAACCAACAGAGGCATGCACACACAGAACGGGCGTGTGTGTTCTTCCATGCGCACGTGGGTGTGTGCAAACACGTTCCCTTGCAAAGGGGTTCAGGCAAGAGTAAGGAAGGCAGGAATCGCGACCTGAGCTTGCTAGCAGGTTAGCAAACCCTGCTCCACTTCATCTTGGGTGCAAGCATGAAACCAGACTATGCATGAACATTACCGGCCCCGTGTGCCCCCCGCTGCCTGCAGAGACCCTGGGCTTGCCGTGCCCACCAGCTTCCATCCACAGCCAGGCCCCGACCCACCATCCCTGAGCTCCCTGAGATGCAATATCCACCCGTACACGTCTTGGACCGCTGCAAGAGGCAGCAATTACTGTAGATTATCAGCCCGACAATGACAGGCCGCGTAAAGAGAGACACAGAGCCAACTCCACCGCCCCAAGACTGGCATATTCAAGTACACTTAGGACATTAATAGCAATTTACGTGCCATCAGTGAGAGAGAACCACAATAGCTGTGCTGGCAGCCTCTTATTACCAAGCCTGTTATTTGTTGGAGTTACAAGCTATAATCACAACAGAAACTTTCAAAACCCTTATCTTCCGTGACGCACCAAATCTATTTCAGAGCTGTAATTGCTATGTCACCGGAGAGTTTGCTGCTTAATGCACTCAGATGCCATTTAGTGTTTGCAGGGTCATTACGGCGAGCAGGAGGAGGGAGAGCGGAGGGGGCCGTGCAGAGCAGGGCTCCGTCCCTATTGTGCTCAACTATTTTTAGCGAGGCTTTTGCGTGCCAGCTGCAGTTGGAAGGAGCAAGAGGGAGAGCATCTTGCAGACAGTGACTGCGGTTCCTCGATGTTTAGCACCCTGCCCCCCAAAATGCTGGGGAGCCCCATGGTACTCCAGATTGGGAATCAGTCTTCATGCGCTGCAGGAATTTGTGCTGCCGATGACCACCTCTGTCACATCCAGTGGGAAGCCAAGAGGATGTTGGGGAGAGGCTGACTAGGATCGGGGCACCCTCCAGAGACCTCGCACCTTCCTGCTCTCCCAGCCTGGGAAGGCCCCAAGTTATGGGTCGAGTGATGGAAAGGAGGCCCCAAGGTTGGCCGTGACTTTATCATCTTGATGCCATCCTTTGGTACAGACAAGCCCTCTGTGAGGAGGCCAGATCCCTCCCCAGGCAGAGGGCACGTAGGAAGCATCTACTCTCATCCCTCCTTTCCTGGAGTTCACCCCGTTGCTGCATGTACCGAAGCCATGTGCAGGATGCATCCGATTCCATTTAGCCAGCTCTGCCTCTTTCTGAAGCAAGGAGATCTGTTGGGATCTGACTGTATTAAGTCGCTTGGGATCTCCCTCAAAGATGAAGGAGTCTTCTGAGAAGGCTGCTGCTCCTCGCAGACCCTCTGAGAAGCTCCTGCACACAGCTGTGACTTCTTCTGGAGGGGCAGAAGCCGAAGACAGAGCAATTGTCTCCAGGACACCTCTTCAAATGTCACCTTCTGGTGCCAAAGCACAGGCAAGGCCTTGGTGGCTGTCCAAGTTGTGGAACCCTGGTGATGGACTGCTGAAGCAACTGGGTTTGGTGCCCATTTCTGCAGGTCCCTCAGCATTTTTGTCACCTCCAGCAAATCTGGTTGGCTCTCCACCCGGGCCTCCTATGTGGGGCTGGGAGATGACTTTCTGCCAATTTTTAACAGAGCCTTCTGCTTCGCACGGAGGCTGTCTCGACATCCCACCTTCTGTGTCCAAATCATTGTCCCACCAGACAGGGCAGGGTGTCAGGTCAGCCTCCAAACACACCAGATCCTGGCAAGTGTGACAGACTGGGAGTATCCTCAAAGAGGTTTCAGACCTCTGAGCTTTTAAGACCTTGTATCAGGGTCTCCTTATGAGGTGCACCGAAGCTCTTATTACACACCAGAGAATCCAGCCTTGTCTGGCCATCGCTTTGCAAGGGTCACAGCGGCAGTCTTTAGGACACACCAAGACATCTCTGATGGATGGGGCTTGGGCACTGAAGCCCTGCCAGACCAGCTTCCATAGCCCAGCTCATGATCATGATGGTGAACCGTAGCTTGCTGAAGAGCAGAGGAACAACTTTCTTTTCAAGGCCCAAATTCTTGGAGAAAGGGGTCTTAGCACAAGCAAGGAGGTCTCACCTCCTACAGGTACCAGTGCCTGGTGGTCCTTGCTGACAAGAGTGGATGTAAAACTCAACGGCACAACCTGCTACTGACCACTGTCATCACGGCGACACACACTGCTCCGTAAATAGGCACAGCTCTGTACAACAGTGCTTTTAGATCAAAAACCTTGCACTCTGATGAATTTTAAAAACAGCCCCTCATTTTAGACCTTTAAATGATCTACAAATTAAATTAAATAAAGGTCCAAAACGAAACTTCTGAAAGGTTTTTTCTTTGAGACGACCATAGCTCATTCATTAATTAGCAGACGGAGGACCTAAAACACTTTGTGGATTTAGGGCCACGGGGCACCAGCAGGAAGGGCGATGTTTTGGGCTGGGACCTTCCAAAGGATTATGGCAATAAGGATCCAACTTCTACTGGAATCCACCAGAACCTAGACATCTAAATGCTTCAAAACCCCCAGCCTCAGGGACCTCTGGCTGGGTACACACACGGACCCCCCCAGAGGGACCAGACACCTCTTGCTTAATGGTGCAAAACCCCTGACCTCAAAGCTTGCAAAAAGGGCTGGATCAGGCCCCAAACATCCCCTCCTTTCAGATGGGGGGCTCCCTCCTTCCTCTCAGTGCTACCCAAGGCAGGCTACCCTCAAGACGACTCCTGCCTCTACCACTCCTCCATCACCAAGAGCATCCCCATCCCTTGCCAGGACCGGCACTGCCTGACGCTGTTTCCACCTGTGGAGGAGAAGGCGGTTGTTCGTGCTCTGCCTCAGCCATCACTGCGGGTCACGGAGATCGCGATGGCTGGGACATCGCCCATTATCCTGCTAATGACGCAGAACCGACTCCAGCTCTTTTTGTCCCGCGGAGTGGTCTGTCAGCCGTCGAGCAGCAGAGCCACAGAAGGGAACAGGGCTTTGGGTAGATTCCTGTTCTCAGCTGTCATGACTTACACACATTTAAAAATTCATCCTCCATCAAGGAAGGCAAACCCCGAGCGTCGTCTCCCCTGCCAAGGTTTGCAGCGGTGGAGCTGGGCAACCTGCCGCTGACTTCCCAGGCCTGACGGGCTCCGGGGATGACTCAACCTCAGCCCCGTGCAGACATTGTTGTGACAGGGCTCTTGACTAGGTTTCGGCTCATCTCCTTCCAGCAGCTCACAGGGATGCTCGGGTGATGCGGGGACGGCAGCTTTCTGTGTCACTAGTAGCTTTCCTCTGCATCCCGCTGCCCTTCCTTGGCATTACAGGCTTCAGGGGAGAGGCAGAGAAGCCCTGACTGCTACGAGACAGCCACCCTGCCTGCACTGAGCAGCTCTCCAGAATCTTGCCCAGGACCAAGGCTTCCTGGAGGGCAGCCACACTTCAGGGTGGACAAACTGAAGTCCGTCAAGGGACCTAGCTGGACGGGAAGACATTAAGTGACAATAAAAGCTACAGGCAGGAGCATGCTGCCTGGGATACAGAGGAAGCAAAACATTTCGGGACAGAGAGACAACCCAGAAGATGCTTCCTAAACTATCTGCTCAGCTCTGGATTCCCTGCCTTGCTCCCCATGCCTACCACAGCTTTATGGGGTAACAAGGAGTCACGCCCAAACCCGTGTGGTCCCTTTGCCCACTTGCCACCTTGCCCCTCTACGAACAACATCCGATTTGGGCCAATACGGGCTCCTGTCCTCCCTGAAAACCAGCCTGAGGAGCCATCAGATGCCACCATGCCGGATCCCCGTTTGGGAAGCGCAGGGGGGACCGCTGAGCCCCTGCTGCTCTCAGCTCACCAATTCCCAGTGCTGCTCGTGGTAACACTGGTTCTCCCATTACCACAGTCAGAAACACCAGCCCAGCTCTCCTTGTCCTATTCAGCTTTTGAGTTTCCACTGCCTCTTTCTTCTCCTCTCCCCGACAGCCCCCTCCCTGCCTCGTAATCCCCGGCAGCAACCCTCCCCCCCAAATTTTGGCTTAACCCAGCCCACTGTTATTTTCCAAGCCAACTGCAACCGTAATCAGCTCAGCCTCTTTCCTTGGGGGTATTTTAATTTATACAAAAGTATCATCTCTTATCATGATCAGCCTGCGATTCATTTACTCTCCAAGTATTAAAAAGCCAGAAAGGGAATAAATTCAGCGCATGGAGAAATTAATGTGGAACGATAGGCTCTTTCATGTGGCATTTCCAAGCGCCGTTTTTGCAACGGGCTTATGTAATGAGACATAATTATCTGCACATGTTCAATTACATTACTTCACAAATCCTCCCTGCCTCTGCCTCCTGACGTCAAGCCGCCCGCTAAGCCCCAGCACCCAGAGGAGAGGGGAGCGCAGCCCTCCGTCCCGCTGCACCCCTCTCCCTGTGCCTGCGGTGGCTGCTCGCACGCTGATGGCCCAAAGACGGTCACACGCAAGGTGACAAATGGCACAAGCCTTGGCTGGGAGGGTGATAGGACTGGACAGTGCACTCTGCTGAGGTGCTCGGCCACAGGACCACCGTCTCCCCCTGAGGACCACCACCTTCCTGCCCAGCCTGCGACCGCCCCACCTCAGCCTTCAGCCTCCTTGATGGGGACCGCGGCAGCCAGGCACGTCCAGGGCCAGCTGCCCCCTCCTCCGTGCCACCCCGGACACCATCGCCACCATCCACTCGGTGCTCACAACCTCCTTTTCCAGGCTGCCCTCTTCTCCCAGCTTGCTGTCACCACTGCTGAGATGGCGGACGATTGATCTGAGAAATGAAGTTGGATTGCTGTCCCGAATCTACACTGGGTTCTCCTTGTGTGTGTCTGATCGATTTCCCCCTGTGCGACACAGCTTGTCGCTACGAATTTTCATGCTAGTCAGAACCCGCCAGCGCACCCAAGAACAAGAAGATGCTCTGGAGACCGCCCTCCCCCTCGCACCCTCCCCCAGTCTGGTTGGGCGAGGTTTTCTTGGGTTGATGTTGGTTGGCTTTGTTTTATTTTTTTCTCCTTTTATTTGCAATCCTTATTGCCGCCAACCCCATCGGTGCCGTGCTTTCGGATGCCGGCCAGGGATGGGTTATTTTTAGATGGTCGCTCCGGGATGGTGCCATTGGTCTCTGCGTGGAGCCATCTCTGGACCGGGGCGTTTGCGGTGACATTCCCCACCGCGGTTACGCGAGGTGTCACCTGTTTAGCAGCTCCTCTCGGCCGAGCGCGTGTGGCCGCAGGTGCCAGGCGAACGCTGATCAGCTCTGACAGTCCTAGACGCCAGCTGCCTGCACAAAGCCTGCCCGGTCGCCACTTTTTTTGTGGGCAAAGCTCTGCCGTTGGCGTGACCGATACAGAAGCAATAAACTAGGTGACCGTAAAAGCAAAGACAAGTCCTACTAAGTGGCATTCTGAGCCCTATGGCTTTGAAATAATTGGTAGTGAGAGAACAAAAATGAAAAAAAAATAAAGAACCCGAGCCTATTTTTTTTTTTCTTACACTGATGCCCTGCGGACTATACATCTGACTTGCTGCGAGTCCGTCACTGTATCCTCCTGTCTGGCTGATAACATGGCGAAGGGTATCCACCTAAACAGACCAACGACAACAAAGACACAAATTAGAGTGAGTGAAAGGTTAGTGGGCAAAGCTGCTTTGGTTCATCTTTGGCAAGATAAAAACAAACAGTCATAATAATAATAATAATGAAAATAAAGTTATATATTTAAAGAGGGATAAAAGAGAACCGCAGTTGGTCTTGTGGCAAGAGCTGAGCCAGAGGACCGCTCCTGCCTCCCTCACCACCCCCCGCCTGCCCCGGCGGCCCCATCACGCTCTCCTTGGTCCCAAGTCTTTCGACAAAAAGAGCAGAGAGGGAGAACAGTGTGGCAAGCGTGGGGTGGGACCTCCTGGAGCACATCGCTGTGGCCGGCTCCACCATCACACTTGACGACCCACGTTCCTACCCCTACCCCCTTCCACCCTTTGGCCCCAAGCACTGTGAAGCTCACGGCAGTGGAAGGAGATCCTCGGAGTCGGCCGAGCACCTTCATTTCGGAGGGCCCAGAAAGAGAATATACCTACCATGGCAAAGGCACCGGCAGCTCTCCTCCAGACGCCCCGTTCCTCTCCCTCCACTCCCCCAGCCTAGCCCCAGCAGTGGTACATGTGGCGAGCACATCTCGTCGCCCATGGACGGCACGCTTGCTCTGCATCCAGCACCGCGAGGGGAGCAACCTCGGCTTTAGAGAGCTCTCCTTGCCCAATGCAGAAGTGTCAGAGTGGCTGTCATCTCTCAACACAGTACAGAGCGTTAAACGCCAGAGTGGACTCATGGCACATCTGGACATCGGATGGGAGGTGGGAGATCTGAGTGAGTTCCTGGCTATTTTAAATTCTTTCTTTTTGCCCAAAGCATGGGCTGACGTTTCAGTAATGCTGCTCAAAGCTCCCTCACTCTGTCTTGCTGGTGTGTACATGGGTGGTGTGAGTGCCTGTGCTTCGGGGAGGTGGGGAGACGGTGAAGGGTGGCTTTTAATTAAAAAAAATAAAAAAGTAAAAAAAATCTAGCTGTGTATTTGAATATTTCTTGCCTTTCAGCAGACACCTGGTTCGGCATCAAAGGAGTAAGTGGAAGCCTTGTAAAACGAGACACCAGTCCAAACATCTGGCCCCTTCCCTTGGAAGAATAAAGCAAGCAGAACCTAAACCTCAGCTGCTTTTGTTTGAGTTCATGCCTGTTCTCCTAAACCTCCTCTCCTCCTAGTACGACTATCAAGCCAGAGCCAAATGCATTCACAAAGTGTGGGCAAGTCTCCTCAAGACCATGGTTGTTGGTTTGGTTGGGTGTTTGGTTTTGGTTTCTTTTGAATTTTTTTTTTTTTGGTGGTTGTTGCTGTTGCTTTTTTTGGTTGGTTGGTTGGTTGGTTTTTCGGTTTGGTTTGCCTTTTTTAAGTGTTGGTTCATTTGTGCTGGTTGAGATTTGCTCTTTTCGGACGGGAGGGAGAAGTGCCAATACAATCAAAGGCTCCTCCAACACTAATGCATTCACTGGCAGTACATCGGATGGGTCCCTACCTGTGACTGCACGTTGGCTCCAACCTGGGCCCCTTGGTAAGAATCCCCATTGAGAGACTGCACGCTCATGAACAAATCTCCAGAGTTTGACATGTTAAAAGAACTGGAAGAACCTGGAAAGGAAAGAGTGAGGCACCTGAATCACAGAAAGGAAAAAGATCCACCCCATGACTCTCAGCCAAGAGGAAGGAACAACATGCAAAGCAACCACAAAAACAAAACACACAGTCAGGTTAGTAGTATGAAGAACAGAGCAAGCAAAAAAAAGGATGCACTCCTGAGGTTATTCAAAGCCACATGTTGTTACAGCTCAATGCCAAGAACATTCTTCAACAGCTCCTCAGCTGGAGGAAGGATTCTTCATGCTTTCGACCGAGACAAACAAAACCCAGCCTGCAGGACTCGGACAGCCCTTTCCCTTCATTTCAGGGCATCAAAATCCTTCAGGCAGCTTTGAAAATCTCGGTTGTTGGAGGTGTCCACCCGGCAGACTGCACTGGAGAACAGAATTACCCAAACAAGCCTTGCTGCTGAGAGCAGAAGTCTTTTCAGCAGGGCGAACCAGGCCCACGCTATTGCTGTTTCTGAGAAGCTCAGATCAGGGTGGGTAAGTCCACACCGCACTGCTCTCTGCAGGGTGAGCACATCCAGACACCATCCAGGTCCAAGGCCGGAGCTCCCGCTGAGCCATGGGGAGCTCTGTGAGGGAGCGATGCGTGGGGTTTGCCTTCAGGACATCAGGAACCCATCACTGGTGGGAACTGCAGCACACCAGGAGCGAAGGCTCGCAAAAACGTGAAGGCACCTGGGCTAGACTCCCAGTACCCATCACGTTGGCAAGTGTCTTTCGTCGTGATGGGCCATGAGAGAACACAAGGGTATCACAGCCCTCCTGGGCCAGCTGCCCCAGAAGAACGAGCTCTGTAAACAAATTCCCCACTGCATGCACCAGTCGCCAACGTTACGCTAAAAAATGATAACGGTGAAGACAACTGGGTGGGATCAGAATCAAAAAAACCCCACAAATGAAAAGAGAAAAAAAAAAAAAATCCCGCCTTTGCAGAAACAAGGTTTTCTGCTTCCAGCTTCGAGATATCTGAGCACCTCCTCAACTACTGAACGGGAGAAACAAACCCATCGTGTAACTGGAAGGCGGGGAAGGAGGGAAGGGGGTTAAAAATAAATAAAAAGGTTTTATGGGATTATTTCAGAACTTATCGTGCAGATCAGCGCGTTAAGTGTGAGACAGCTCAACGTGCAAAGTTTGGTTATATACATGACGTTAGCCTTGGAAAGGAGAGACTTCAGGGGCCCAGGTCAGCTACGCTTTCAGCTCCAACCCCAAATACACTCATCATCTCCACTGCCACTTCCAACTTGGAAGACTGGCAACCACAGTCCTGGTGGAATTGCCCAACTATGGCTCATGCGTACGCTCTGAGAAACGCCTGGCAATCCCCCTCCCTTTGCCGGAGAGGGAAGAAACACTCTGGACAGACCCCAGCTCTGCACTGGAGGTGGACTAGGAAGGCTCCTCCGAAGGAAGCCACCTCCAAGAAAGGTCAGGAAGCAGGTGGGAGCTCTATGCTGGCGACTTCATGTTCACTAAACTCTCTGCTGCTCTCTTTGCAACTGACTCTTTTATAGGAGCTGGCAATTCTCAGAATCGAAGGAAAGCAGAAACATCGCTGCTAGATACAACGCCCAAGACACTCAAGAGAAAGACTCATCTTGAGCACAGTGAGTCTTGGATCAGGACCCTCCCACTGGTGCCTGAAAAGAGCAGAGCCAGGAACAACTCATTGTCTGTGCTCACTGTCAACCCTGCCCAACCTGTTCCAGAGAGCAATCCCACAGCGCTGCGTAAAATAACTGGGACTAGTCAGAAGGCAGCTGTAACCATCACCTCCTCTGCTCAGCTGGCAAAGGGCTCCTGTCACTTCCCAACCTCTCAGGTTACTTGCTATTTTAAAGGCAAAAAACCTAGGGAAATGAGCTGGCAGGCTGAGGATAGCCACCCTGACACTGCTCAGCTTTAAGCGTGAAGATGGGCACTTTTCACATACACAAAGATGCTTCCTACCCAGTTTTCTGAATGATCGCTTTGACTACCCGCATAAAAGCACAGGGCAGTAATGTGGCTTCATACTCCCGCAGTGACTGAGAACAAAAGGACTCTGCAGCTACCGCTCACAAGAAGCAGAGAATATTCTCCTGTTCGCTTAAGGTGAGCAGAAACCTTTGAGATCACACAAATAATCAGTGGCAGACCTGGGAAGAGGACTCGGGAATCCCTGAGCACCTGAGAGGTTATCGCTGTCGCTCTGCCCCCAGCAGAGCAACATTTCATCCCACCTTCCCCTACCAAAAGAAAATTATAACAATAATAACACATAAAAATGCCATAAACTTAACTGATATTTTATTGAAACTTAACAAACCTGGCTGTAAAATTGAGACTGGGAGGGAGGAAATAAAAATAAACAAACAGCCACAAACTCTAGTTCTGAAGAGCGCCAGTGTCTTGGAAATCATGAGGAGTGCTGGAGATGTCACTTACAAGATATACACTGCTATTGGCACAGGGTATTTTTACAATATATGTGCATATCTAAACGGTAAATATGTCTTGCCGCTGATGTGGATGCAAAGATAAATATGCGCATACCAATAGCTCCACATGTATGGATGCATTTGTATCAGAGCCATAATTGCAGAGCGCCCTTTGCGCTGCTGCTCTGCTGCTTCAGCACTCCACTGTCTATGTACTAGCTACGTATGGAAAATTATGATGACCCAAAGTCTCAGAGACACGGCTAAGAGGGGTTGATGCACCGGCGTGGGAGAGGCGGCAGGAATGTGAAGAGCTCTGAAAATTAAGACTCTGGTATCCTCCACGAAGATCCGGGAATACAAGTCAAATCCTTCCACTAGAGGAGGCTCCATCGTAAGTCTAATCTGACCCTCTGAAGGCTCCACTGTGAACACACCAAAAGTCTTCAGTGGTCATAATTTGACCTGGGGCTCCTCAAGAACTGAGAGGTAACAAACATCTTTGAGCTTGTGAACCCAGGAGGAAAGGGCTCCGACCTTAGCATGGAAGTCCCTTGATGCTATCATGTGTAGACAAAAAAAGACCACGAGACAAAACAACACTTTTCATGACTTGTAGCAGTGTAGAACAGTGGTTCATCTTCAGCATCCAGACATCTTATCAAACCCAGGACCTATCACCACTATTCCTTAGTGCTGAATTTAGATAATCAGGTCATCACCAGCTTCAGAAAGAGTGCTGGAAATGTTTAAACAAGCTATGGCAGTCAGATCTTGCCACTGGGTGAAAGCCTGTATCAAAACAACGCCTGCAAAGAGATCTCTTCCGGCCCTAACATTTCCGATGAGCAAAACCCACTTCAAGTTTGTCTCCAACTCAAAAATCTTCACAAGCTTGACTGCTGGTATTTCTCACACCACTTCTCCAGCTCTTCAGAGAGCTTCTTCAATGGTTTCTCTAATGTCTTCTCTAATGTTTTGACAGCTTCAACTTCCACCTCAAATTTTCCAGGACCTCTAACAAGTCCTTTTCTCTACAGTATCCAACAATTCAAACAGCATCAAGAATAAACAGACATGGTAATGGTGTTCATTGGAGCTGAAATCAAGCCATCCTCATCTGCTGCCTCATATCACCTACCACCAATGAGACAGAGATCCAGCACACTGAGCCACTGAAGTTGACTTTGGTCATGTGTACAAGACTCGTAGCTGAAGTCAATGGCAACGACATATACGCATTGAGAGCACAGAATTTACTCCCCTGTAACTTTTCCTTGAGTGTCCACCACGGCCAAAGATGAGGGAAGAACTGGATGGACATGTGGCTCCTCAGCTGGACAAAGCCACTGAGTTTGATAGCAGGTCTAAGAGCCTGGGATGACCCAGCAGGACATTTTTCCTTTTTCACTTGCCAACCAACACGTAAGACAGTGAGACCATCACCGGAACAGCCTCTCTGCTGCAGTGCAGTGCTCTGGACAAGTGATTGCCACAAATGACAGAAGGCAGAGAAAATACAGCAATTAGGCCTGTGCCTGATGAAGTGCATTTCCAGATAGCATGATCCCCTCCATCAGCAGCTTTGGAAGATTTTTACAAAACAAAAGGGTGAGCAGGAAAAAAACAGTTCAGGACAATTTTGGCTGCTCTGCATGGAAGATTTCACTGGATGTCATCACCTGTGTGTGGCCCTTGAGGACTCTGGTTGGCAAAAGGGTCTGCCCACATAAAATAGCTTTCATTTGCCATGTGGTTTTTGTGCTGAGATTGTCCAGGCAATCAAAGTGAGGATGGGGAGTTGTTAGCCCAAATGAGTCAGACAACTCAGCTTATTTGAACATCTGGCTGATAAAGCCCAACTGTGCGTATTCAGGATGAAAAGGTGTTTGACATTCAGGCCTGGGTGACTGAGGATGGGGGACCCTGCTTTGAACGTGCCAGATGGCTAGACAGATGCAATCCTTGCCCTTGTCAATGTGTGGCCAATCTCTTTGACTGACTGTAGCCATTCACCAATCTCCGGTAACATGGGCATCAATGCAGAGAACAGATGGGCCTGCGTAGCCACAGCAGAAATGAATTTAGCTCCTGTCCCAGGTCCCATCACATCCAGTTCCACCTCCTCTTCCAACATCATGGCCCTCCAGGGACTACATTGCTGGTTGCTTCTTTCTCATGACCTGTCCTCTGCCTACTCTCTTTCTTTCCACATGACCTACAATGTATTTAAACTAGAAGGTCTTACAAATTCCCAGCAAATCCTATCTTTATTCCGGCTCCTTCCTCACCAAAGTCTCAGCCAATGATCTGAAAACAGAAAGAAGTCCATGGTGTAAGAGGAGAGGCATCATCCGTCTTAGTCCTACACCTATTCATTCACTTCCACGTTCCTCCCAGGGCAATTCAGCACATCTGGATGGCTCATGGTCCTTCACACCATCCTCCAAATCTCTCACAGACAGGTATTTTAGACCTAGTGTGTACAGGTGTGCTTCTTGCTGCTAGCACCTACAGGACAACCTGAAGCAGGGGAGGTCACACAACTCCAGATGTCCTCAGGACATGTCTTTGCCCCACAGCATGACAATGCAGGGATGCTTGACTGAGCTGTTACATCCGCATGGTTCAGCTGGAGAGATCTCAACCTGGGATTGCACTGTTGGAGATCCTGAGGCCCTTCCAGCTGTCTTCTCAGGAGAGGACTTACAAGGACATCCAAACCCACCATCTCTGCAGGCTGACCCGGAGACTACTGCAGTGCTGACAGTGGGCCTCCCCACTGCTCTGCCACTGCTGCAGCATACAGGGAGGGTAGTGGGATCTGGGTCAGGTTAGAAACACTTTGCTTCTAGCAGAAGAAGGATCTCCACGGCCCACAAGCTCCCCTCGCACTGATGTGCTGCTTTAGCACTGCTGCCAAATTAGGCACATGAAAAGAGGTCAATGTTTCTGGAGTGCAGACAAGTGAGCCAGAAAGAGGACCCAGGAGCTCAAGTCGTACCCGTTAATAACAAGACTGTTTGTCCTTCCTTGAAAGTGTAGTATTATCCAGGGATTATCTTAGCTGTTTACTGCAGGGTACCGGCCAATTTATCTTTGAAACGGCCGTGTTACTGCCTGTGGGGAAGGCGAAGAAACAGCCTCGCACCAGAGCACTATTTAACTGGGCAGGCACTGGGGAAATGCCTATTCCACTACATGCAGGCCAGATCCAAATCCACTTAAGCAATCTGAAGCTCTTCCCTTGCTATTCCAGACCTTTAGATCTGACTTCAGTTGAAGACAGAAGAAAAGAAAGCAAGTTGTGTCTCTTTGGTCCAAGCTGACGTGGACTGTAGGACAGCATCACAGGCAGTAGGCATCTCCCTCAACACACATAGTTCTGCTCTCCACCCTCCAGCCTTTTCTACAGGGGGGTGTTAATATCAAGACACCCCACTTGACCAGGTATTTTGAGTGAGCTGTTTGAAAAGGATGACATTTTTAAAACGGCAGCTAAATCTTCAGCAGTTCAAACAATGGAAGGAAGAGGGGAAAAAACCCTGACAAACCAAGAAGAAAAAAATCAAACAAAATTTCTGCAAACTACCTGTCCCTGCAAAACTCTGCCGTGTCCACCTGAGCCCTCTGAGCACCTCAGCCGAGCCAGAGCAGGCGGCACAGCTCGCTCACAGGTAGCCCTGGGTGAGGAGGAGGTGGGACAGATACCTCCCACCAGTATTTCTGACCTGCAACCAAAAGCTGCAACATCTCTGCTCTAGGTGGCTCTGGGACAGACCCCCCTAGCAAGTAACAAGTCCCCTGGAAATTAAGGGGTTGTGTGTAGGGCCTTCTCTCCACTGACCAACTGAATCAGCCTTCTACCACTTGCTTCTGTGCAAGCCATCCACATGAGTCCTGAAAGGTATGGACGAGTTCCCTAGCACTGAGTGATCAATCACCGCTCACCACGTTAGCTTGTGGGTAACAGACTGCCTTTGCCTTCCCGTTGAGGGGGGGTCTGGTTTGGGAGATCAGCCAGAGACCCGTGCCACTGGTTTCTCCCCTTGTTTGACCCCTAGGTCTCCACTTTCCATTCAAATCCTCCAGATCTGGGGGTGCTTCTGGGGTGCGATTCCTCTGATACCTGTCAACGCAGGGTTGCGCTCAATATAGAAGCACGTCCTAATAGCAATCAGCATTTGCATGCTGTACCACTGGTGGTCTACTTAACATCCAGCTTCTCCTGCTGCCCACCATCCTCCTTGCTCCCCCACCTCTTCCTCCCTCTTAGTAGCCTACCTGATAACAGCAAACATCACACCCCAGTGAAAGGGTACCATGAGCAGACACTGAGCTCACAGGCACAAAAGTGGCACACTCCCACTCTCCCTCCCACCCCTGAAAAGAAAACAGGCACACAGATATTTGCATGGATAACAATGTACATGGCACTCATGAAGTTCACTTTTCCCCCTCCTTTTAAACAAATCCCAATTCTCCATCGCTCTTGGGAGCGCACAACCAGCCGACTGCAGCCTGAGATCATTTTTGGGTCGGCTATCCTCGTGGCAGGCACCACACATGAACTAAGCATCGTTCTCTAGCGGAGGAGTTGAAATTTGGGCAAAGTGCTCTGTGCCTTTGACCCTCAAAACAAACAAATGGAAACCAGAGCAAATGGGCAGGAAAGGGGGAAAGGGAAGGGAACGACCCACGGAGTTCCCTGGATCGCGCTGACACAAAGATAAAATAAAATTAACACAGAGCACACTCTTGCAGGTGATCCAGACACTGTCATGTAAGCAATCAAAGGTAACCACAACAAAGAAAATCAAAGGATAAAAATCTACTGAAAACAACACTCAAAATGGCATGAGTTAGGACATCCCAGAAATGCTGGGTTTTATCCATTAGGGCCACTCATGCTTTCAGCCCCAGTGAAATAAAATCAATATGCAACAACTTTTAAATTATTTTTTTTCTCCCCCCCCGCAAAGTGCAAGCAATGCCAGCAACTTTTTTCAGATCATTTTTCTGGTTTTGTGTTTACCATCCATGCATATAACCCCCAATGCGGCACCGTCAGTCACAAGGTCTGATCACATCGTTTTTCCAACGAAAACCAGAACAGGGAAGGGGAAAAGAAAAAAAAAAGATAAAATAAAAAAGAGGGAAAGAAAGGCAAAGAAAATAAAGTACCCCCCCCCCCAAAAAAACCCCAAAAGCCAAACCCATCTCTCTTTTTTTTTAAGAGACCACAAAAATGAGCCAACCAAAACCAGAGAATAAAAATTGAAATAACCAAAAGGAGAAAACAAGAGAGAGATTAGAGGGAGGGGGGGGAACGAACAAAAAAACGAACACTAATGACCCAAAATAAAAAAAAACCAAAAACTAACCAGCTGAATTGGGAGTTGAGGGTGAGTTAGCCTGGCTTCCATGGGCTGACACATTGGTAGCCGTGACAGCCGTTTTGGCAGCATAAATATTGGCTTCCTCTTGAAATTTACCTATGTTCTTCTTGTACCGGATTCTCTTATTTCCAAACCAGTTTGATACCTAGAGCGAGTTTAAGAGAAGACAAAGATGTTAATGGTTCGGCTCCGGTGAGTGCAGCTCAGTGAGGAAGGTGGCTTAGTTCAGGTTAAGCAATGCATATTCTTTCCCCCCACTCCCCGTTTTCCTAGCTGTGGAAGGAAGCACCTTCTACCCACACGTGCCACACCAAGCCCACGAAAGGTGGCAGGACCCCCTTGGGAGCGCTGGGTTTGTGTGGATATATCTGGTTCCTCTATGGATGGGACTTCCACTATGGAGATGCTCCACAGGAACCGCTAGACCTACCCCATGGAAATATCAGATGGGTTTAAAAAAACCCGAGAAAGTCAAATGACCCTGAAATTGCACAATGTGAAAACAGGCATGTGTCATTTTGGACCTTTTTCTTTGCCTCCTCCATGGTATCCCTTTGAGAGGAACAGATGCCCTAATTCCCAGATGCCCATTCTCTTCCCTTTGGAGAAGCCAGTGTGGCTTTCAGGGAGAACACCCAACGAATTTACTGGGGCCTGGCTGACACACAGAATTGCCTTGATATCCCTGAAGCTCTGCTTTTGATCTGAGCGAAATCAGTGCAAAAGGCCCAGAGTGGGTCTTCTTCATCCAGCTGAAGTTGGCTTGATACGGTTTACCATGAGCCACTACATAAACAGGGAGCTCCAGAGGAAGGCTGGAGAGGGAGCACAGGGCTTGTTGTAAGATCTAACTTTGGTCCCAGGGAATAAGTGTGTCCCTCAGGAAGGGGCAGGAGATGTTTCCATTGTGTTTGCCCAGAGACCAGTACAGGCCTGATGTGTCTAAGTGCCTAGAAATGTGCTGAATAGGGCTAATGGATTTATTTAAAAAAAAAAAAAAAAAAAAGAAGCAGGATGAACTTCTTCACAAGTGATAGGGGTGGCTGAAAATGATGGGCCAGATCTGAAGGCAGAATGAAGTGGTGCAGCTCTGCTCATGCCAGTCCTGATGGAAGCTGTTTCCCTGTGCCTGCAGCAGTGCAATGCGGGAACCTCAGAAAGTCCCAAGGAGAGGTCCAAGCAGTGATCCTTGCGGACTGTCAGGGTGATATCCTGGGATCAGTAGTATGAATGCTTGACAGAAAGGTCACTTGGACAACCTGCCAGGTGTCTGGATAAATACCCCAAAATTTGCATGTCAGAGGTTCAGCACAGTGATAGCTTAACTCTGAAGTCTGTGAAACCAGGCTGTGGTATCTGGCCAGAACTGCTTCCCAGGGAAAAAAACGTCAGGGTACCTTCCAAACCACCATGAACTCAGCGTTCCCAAAATCCCGCTCAGTACACTGCTGATGATAATGCTGTTCACTTGGGGATGCTATGTCGCACTGAACAATTTCAGAGAAGACATGGGAAATATTCAACCTACAGTTTGGGAAGCAGCTTTCAGCTTCTTCTCTGACAACACTGAACATAGAGCATCAGGGGAATGTCTTCCTCCATGCAGATCTCTAAGCAGAAGACAATTTCCAGCTGCTACTGACCTTGTTTGAGAAAGCCCATCAGGATGAAGAGAATGGGCAAATGCCAGAGGATGCTGCAACTCTCCCAGAAGAGCTCCAACACTCCTAGGATTGCTCGGAGCTGCAATCTTGAGCTAGCAGATCAACCTCTGTGGTGGGACTCCAAGGACGTTCTCCCTTTGCTTGCTGGTGAGCAAGTACATCAGTGCTCGCCCTTCTAAATGGACTGTCCAAGCACCGAGACACGGAAGACAATACTGGATGTTCATCCTGGGAAGCTTATGATTTTTTTCTCATCTTAGGGAAATTGTTTTGGCTTGGGTGTTGATAACTGAAACCCATATGCTTTTATTCCTATGATGCTTTCTATCTGCAGTGCTCCTAGAGGATTCAGCAGCTTCTACATGGAAGTGGCTTCATCCACCAATTTACCTGCTACTGAACTGCAGGTATCCAATCCTGCGCTGCTGCAGAGCGGGAAAAAGAAAGTCTCTGCAGAGACTCCTGGGAGGCAAAAGATGGTAAGTAACTCAGAGCAGCACCCAACCCAGATCTGGGAGTGAACATTTCAATGGCACCAGGAGCAGGTGCTGTTGGCGAGGAGCTCCAGTCCACTTCTTGGTCCAGCTTTCTCATGAATGACAATGTGCTCCTTTGTGACCTTCCCACTTGGCCATCTCTCTACAACAGCTCTTCTGGCTTCAAATGCTGTAGCCAGTGGGTGAACTCTGAGCACCACAGGGAAGGAAGTCGGGATAAAACGGCCACCACAATCGATCATCTTAAAACTTGTGAAGCAAAGAACCTGCCTACCCCCATCAGCCTCTGAGTTCAGATCAACTCTGCTCCTGACTTGCACAGATTCGTGCTGTCCCATGTTCCCACTTAGCCTCAGCAAAAACAGGGACCTGGATGTGTGTTTGTTTCTACCTTCTTCGGACAAAGAAGGGAGGGAGATCCTGGAGACAGGCACAAAGCAGCCTTGATACAGCACGGTCAAAAAATATCCTAAGTGCAGCATTTCTCCTGGGCATTTTTTCTTTGTGAGGGAAAAGTTGTAAGTGTGAACAGATGAATTAAAAGTGAGAGGGGAAGCGTCAGGACAGCTGTAGTTTTACCTAAGCCAATATGTGCTGTCTCTCGTAGGTAACTCTGGGCAGAATCGATGTTTGGGTCTTCTGACCCAGGGGATGCAATCGGAGTCACTCAGCAGGCATTCAACACAGTGATGACACCTACCCTTGCATGCTGTTGCTCCTTCTGAAGGCAGACATGCTCTCACAAGGACACCAGATGCTACTGCTGTCTTCAGTTTACTCAAGCGACGAACAGGCATGTGCCTGGGGCTGGGAAGCAGCCCAAGATGGGGAACACAATGGGAGCCTAGAGGGAGCGCTAAGCTCACATGAGGACAAGACTACCAGAGGCCATATAGATTGGCTTTCCATCACACAGCTTGCTCCAGCAAAAGAGGAAATAAAGAAGGGCAGGCCTGAGCAATGTACAGCTGAACACTTCCAAGGACTGACTGTACTCCTCACAAATCCCAGCAGCTCCCAGGTCAAAGCTACAGACTGCAGGAACTACATGGCTGCCTTGAATGTATGGAAATAATTCAGTTTGTCTTTATTGACCACCCTTCTTTGAGGGATAAGTAAGTCAGGGAGATGTCATGTTCCACAGCACAAGAGTAATGACAGAGGGAAACAACCATGACAAAGCCCACCCTCCTTGAGCACAAACTATAACCATTAGCCTGTCTGACCCAAACCCTTCCCACCAGGACCTTGTCCATTCTACCTTATCGAGCAAAATCTGCACAACTCTTCCTACTGCCTTCGAATCCCTTGGCTTGAAGAACGGACTTTCAGCTCGAACGAGCTATTCTTGCAAGCCAGCTCAGCACTAAGTCCTTGAGAAGACTTTGCCTCTGTGGGTCAAGCCACATCATTTCTGTGCTTTTAATTCATTGGCTGCACACACAGCCATCGGTCTATGAAGTCTTTATCCCTTCTAGATCCTCTCCCAAACTCTCCTTTTCCATCCATGGCTTCAATCTGCAAGTCTGCTGTCAGCTCCCCCATCCACTTACGCTAACTTGTGCTAAACTCATTTAGCAATTAAATGCTCAACACTGGGACATGACTGAGGTCTGGAGTGCCCTTCACCTTGCTAAGGTTTCCCGCTAGCAGTAGCCGTCTTTGCTGTATTTCTGAGCTCTCTCACCTGTGAGACTGTGATGCCGCATTTCTTGGCTAGCTCTTCTTTGGCTTCCTCACTGGGGTAAGGGTTGCTGAGATGGGAATAGAAATACTCATTCAGGATTTCCGTAGCCTGCTTGTTGAAGTTTCGTCTCTTCCGCCTTAGCGTGAAGAAAGAGGGGGAAATAGAAGGAAAAGGAAAGGGAATCAGTGCCAGGAATCCAGAAATAGGAATGCAATTTTAGATACTCTTGACTTTCCCTGCTTCCCTCCCTGCTTCCCCTGCTGCTGGGAGCATAGAGTACAACAGACTCATGGCCAGGAAGCTTCTCATCTGCACCTTGCTGGTGACTCCTCTCTCAGCACCTTCCAAAGCAAGTAAGTCTCCATCTCAAATTATCACTGTAGCCTCCAGCTCACAGAAGAGTCTTAAAACTGGCACTGAGCTCCTCCACCTGGGAAGGTGACTCCCAACACCTGGCTGCCCTGGCCAAAGACATCACTGTTACTCTGCAAAGCTCCATGCTGAGAAAGCAGCTCTGGATATATCCTTGGGGAAGTCTGTTCAATTTACAGCTGGGCATTATCTGTCTGCTACCTCTTCCCTCATACCCGCAGGGTAGCCGTCTCTCCTCCCCATCCCAAGCTGCAGCCCAAGCCACAGCCTGCATGTAACCAGCTTGGGGAGTGAAGTAAGTCTACAGCAAATCAAAAATCTGGGACAATGGAAACAGAAGGAAAAGAATAGGAACTTAGAGGGGACGGGAAGGGCTGGAGGATTAGCTTTCATCCCTAACTGAAGTGCACATTTTCACCACAGAGGTTTGTTGCAATATGCCACAGACTTTCCTTCTGCCACAGCAAACCCAGGATGTGCAATTCTCAAAGTACAGCTGGGATCCTCCCTGAGACAGAGGCTGGATGTCTTGAAATGCTGCCCCCTCCCTTGCTGAGCCACAGACAACTAGAGGATAAGGAAGGTAAATAGCCTCTGTGGCTCAAGGCCAAGAGACATGGCCCTTCAGATGGACCTGAATTCACTCCAGAACCTCAAAACACCTCTCCCAGGGCTAAACAATACAGCACAGTGGGTGGGGAGAAAGGTTTGGTGGGGTGAACTCACCGTGCGTCCAGAAATCGGGAGCGCAAGATCATGACGGCTTCACACGTGCTTTGCTTCAACTGCATCTGGATGGAGCTGAACTTGCGGTGGATGATGCTCACCATCCGCTCTATCTCCTTTGGCGAGATAGGTCGGGTTCGGCTCTGCTCACGCAGCAGGTTCATCACATGGGTGGTGAATTCGTTGCATGCCTGGGATGGCAAGAAAAGCAAAAGAAACCCCAGGATCGGAAGGTCATTTGACAGCGTCAAGGATGGTACAGAGGCAACACTGCTAAGGAAGGAGACACAAATGGAGGCCTCAATGGCTGGGGCTTTTTAGGGCAGAACAAGAACAAGAGTGTGCCGGCGCTCAGGGGAGAGAAATTTTTCAGGTCTGCTAAGCAGAGGGCATGAGTGACTGCCAACAAACATGTTGAGAGAGGCAGGAGCCAATTTCTTTGCTCTCAGGGATCATGGATGGAGCTGGGGCAGGTGAAGCCCTAGGGCTCATGTAAAGCATGAAGAAGTCCCAGCCACTGTTTTTCTGGATGGGACCGGAGGAGCTATAGCTGTATCTGAGGAGGACCCTGAACCTTTTGATGCGCTGTCCCTCCTCCCACTGCCCCAGCTGGACCCCAGCACCATGTGTCCTGCAGAGCCCCTTGTGCTTCACAGGAGCAGCTTCCAGAGAAACATGGCCCTGCTCTGTGCTCTTAGTGTATGAGGTAAGAAGTAAATAATGATAATAATTAAACCCTGAGTGAGGCAGGAGTCCTGACAAGTAAAGGCAAGCAGGTAATAATCCCAATTAGTTTGCTGCTGGGACAGCACTCTCTGGCTGCTCCTGCTGTCCCCATGCTGTGCTGTGAGGACAGAGCAGCGAGAGGAGTCGGGGGTACAAGGGAAGGATTTTGAGGCCACATAAAGGCCACTTCATTGCCCTCTCCTCCATCCCCATGAGCACCTTATGGGCATGACAGGATGCTCCGATTCCCAGAACCAAGCCCCGAGAAACAGGTTGAGAGCAGCACTCGGACACTGAAGGCTTGAGAAGCCGTTGGTGCTCCCAGGACACGGGCAGCTGCTCTCGGGACAGCGTCCCCAGTTTTCCCAGCCCCTGATGGGGAAAAGGGGACTAGCAGGGGAAAGAGACACTGATTTTGTGGACTGGTGACATGGGCTTGACTTACTCTCTCCCATCCCACGCTTCCAAGCTGAATCCCCACCCATGGCTCAGACCCAACAAGGAGACATCCCTGAGGCCAGCAGAGCCCCTCCAATTGCCCATCACCAGCTTCAGCTGACAGTTCCCATCTCCCGGGGTGAGCGCCGGCTACAAAAGCTCTCAGCCGGGTGCCTCTCTGCTCCCAGACACCCGAGCAATTTCAGCTCGTCTCCTCTTGGTGTGAAATAAAGAGCATTAAAGGCAAAATCGCCAGCAAGCGCCGTGCTGTCACAGCAGCAGCCAGATGCCATGAGAAGCCAGGCGCTGAGCTCCCCCAGCCACCAACAGTTGGACTGGAGAGAGGGGGATGGAGGCTAAGAAACCCTGAACCCTGGTTTTGCAGGACTGCGGGTGGTGATACTGGAGATGTGGACAGGCACAGCCATTTGCAAAGCAACTCGGTGGCAAAACCAACCCCAACAGTGGGTTGTGAGAAGGAAAGGTGTGGCCCATCTCACCCCATGGGGCTGGGGGAAAGGCTTCTCTCACCTGGGTGTCCCTTTGGGGAGCAAAAATGATGCAGAAACAAAATCAGAAAAGCAAACAAAACTCCTGCCCAAGGTAGGGAAGGAGCAGAAGGTCATTCCCTGAAGCCTGTCCCTGGCTGTGCCAAGGGTCTCTTCTTGGGTTTGGGTGGCAGAGGACATGGGGTCTCTCCCCCTCTTCAGCCTGGGGGCTGAAAGATGAGCCCCGATGTGCTCTCCACTCCTACCCATGTGGGATGGCCGAGGCTCCCTCATGCTTCACCACCAACTCTCTGTGCCTTGAGGGAATGACAGCAAGGGCTGAGGACAGCCACCAAAGGTCATCCTTCCAACCTGCCCCCTGCCTGCTCCCTGGGCCCTGCCACCCCCTCCTCCTCTAATGCTCTGCCAAAATGCCTTTCATGGCGTGACCATGCTCGGCTTCTCCAACACCAGAGACCTGCCTGGCCACCCTGACTCCAGCTCCAGCTCAGGGGCACCCATCTACAGTAGCTCCACACCACCCCCGGGTGTAGGTCCGAAGATGCCAACCAGCAGCCTCAGCTTGGCCAATGTGGCACCTGAAGGGGTGAGACATCCCCCAGCCCCACCACACACCCAGTTAGCCAGGTAAAATGGGGGCTGGGCTGGCTTGCCCCTACAGACCCCGGCACCGGCGGTCGCATCGGCAGAGATGGCATTAAACCAGAGACCTGAAACCCCGCCTGGCCCCTGGCCGCGGAGCCCATCTTGCACCCAAAAAGGAGGGATGCTTTCTTGCTCGCACTCCATAAACCACAACCTCTGAGTAGAAACCACATTCATCACAAGGGCAAGCTGTGCAGCAGTGAAGAGAGGTCTGCAAAACATCTGGAAATGTTTGAAAGAAAGCGGTTTTGAGCGTTGGCTTGCAAAGCTTTTCATGCAATTGTCAGTGTTACCAATAGCTGCATTCATGACCCAAATAGTTTGGTTTTTTTGCTTTTTTTTTTAAGAATCATTTTCCACAAGAAAAAAGACAGGTTTTTTTTCTGGAAAAAGAGCTTTTCAAGCAGAAAGAATATTCAAGGAAGATTTTGATTCAAGCCTTGCTTGGAAAACTGCCTGCACCAAGGCCAGCACCTCGAAGAGGACTCCCCCTTCATAGGGCAAATTTTTGGCAAGACATTAGGAGAGCAGTGAAAAGCGAAAATCAAAGGGGCAAGCCGTGCTGAGCCCATTCTCCTGCCACCTCCCAGCGCAAAACTCCAACCCTCCCAAACCTAAAAAAGCACATTTTCATTCCCATCCCAAGCAAGAGTTTGCATTTGCCCGTACGCTCCTAACAATAGATGTCAGTAGCGATCCAGGCTGTGCACATCCATGCCATGGTGCGGGACAGCAGCTCTCCCAGCCGCTCCGGTTCCTGCTCCCACCGTCCCACGACCACCACCCCTGCGCAGCCCTGCTCTCCGCCGCGAAGGAGCCTGTTACCTGCTCGTACTTCTCCAGCTCTGTGTGGTAGATCTGCCGGATCTGGGAGAGTTTGGCTCTGTAGTCAGAGTGCTCCACCGAGTTGTCGGAGCCGGCTCCTCCTGATGCGGCAGCGGCGGCGGCAGCGGCGGCCGAGCCGCCTCCTTTTTCGGGGCCCGCTACCCCCTCGGCCAGGAGCATGTTGTCTAACCGCATCAGCTGGGGGTCCGTGGGCTCCTCTTCCTGCGCTCCCCGAATGCTCAGCACTGCAGGAGACACAAAGAAGAGAGAAAAGCTTGAGTCGTGCCCAGGGCTTATCTTGGGGAAGGTGACGCTCATCTGCAAGGGGATGCGCATCCCAGGTTGGACCAGAGGGGTTCAGTCCCCATCAATGGGGCTTTTCTTCTTTTCCCAAGAAGACCCCGACAGGCAGTCGGCATCCTGATGGTCCAAGTGCTAGTCACCAAGCGCAGCTCCTCGGCTCTCCAGCCCAGCAGCAGCGACGGGGGCATTCCAGCTCCCCGCTCCCTTCCCTGCCTCTTCCCCTCCTTCCCACAGGGAAGAAGTAGGGCAGAACTAGCAGAGAACTCACCGCAGAGGTAACCCAGAAAGCCGTGCTTTGTGTTCAAATATGCAGCGCAACTGCTAGCAACACCAACCAAAAAACCAATACATGTACCCATTCTTCCTGCCAGAAATGACAGGGACCATAACCCTACTCAAGCATGGGATGGGGAGTTGGGAGTCTCTAGCCCAGACTTCAGCTCGCCCAGGCATCCTCTCATGTCACCTAACATGTCTTTTACGGCCTGATCCTGCACTGTCTGCATCAGCCATCGACCCCAGATGGCAGAGGAAGATGCACAGAGCCCAGGGCTGACCGTGCCTCAGTTTCCCCATCTTTAAATACAGACGGAGAGGGCCTGCAAGGCGATGCGTTTAGCCATGCAGTGGAAAAACAAGCAAAAAAATGTACGAAATAAATTTTATTCTTTGGAAAATGCCCCCTTTTTTAGAATCAAGTTGTTCCAGTGAAGTCGAAACCATGCTAAGAAAAGGAGCAACAACAAATTAATCCTCCCAAATCGACGTTCCAAGGAGAGAATTTTCCTCCCTTCTTTGTACTCCCTGCCTCAATTATTGCTTTGAATAAAAGTCCTTCTCCTGTGAGGGCTTTCCTGGAAAAAACACATAGGAACATCCTGACTGCTCGGGATGTCCCAGGTTTGAAGGATGGCAGTGCCCTACGTGCTCCCCGTGTGTCCCCCCATGATCTGTGTTTGAAGACAGAAGGTAACCTGAGATTTCCACATGCACCTATGCACAGGTGTGTGCAGCTGCAAAATAAAGTAAGTAAAATAAATCCTTGATAAGCGAACAAAAAGGGCCTTTCCTAAGAGAAATGAATCATATTTCCCCATCTCACCTGGCACAGGAGCTCAAAGCACTTTGTAAACACACACACACACCCCCCCCTCCGAGCACACACTCGTGCACATCCAGAGCTGGGTAACGTTGCATGGATTTTAATAAAGCCGTGCCCGCTTACACCCGAGACGAATTTGACCCCCTGAATCCGCAGCACAAACAAGAGCGTGATTTTCCCCATAATTTAAAAAAAATAAAGTCTAAAATCAGTTGGCAATAAGAAGTAAAACCAGAGCAGCTAAAAAACCCAGGCAAACACCAGGTATGGTCTTCCTCACCCTGAAATAAGTTAAAGATATAGCTACTATCAGTATAATATGGAAGTAAAAGACCCTCTTGAGAGGTTTGGTTAACACTAAACCCAGCTTTTTTTTAAAACCTCAAACTGTACTGAAATCATTCTTTTCAGGACTCTAGCATTTATTGGCATTTTTGTGATTAAAACATTCACTGTCAACAAAGGTGGGAAGGTCACGGGGAAAGAAAAGATAGAAAAAAGCCCAACAACAGTAAATTTGCCACTAAGATAAGCTAATAATAAATAATTCCGTGCTAGGCAGGATTGTTTCTATACGGAGCAAAGGGGGCATAGTGCCAAATTTGGAGCCGGGTGCCAGTTGCCAAGCCCCGAGGAGACAGAACTGGCATCTCCCCCCACCACAGGAGGCTTCTCATGGCACAGCCGGCACCCAGCCACACGCTTCGCCGATGAATAAATCTGAGGGGGGAGGTCAGATTTCATCAAGAAAATGGTTTGGGGTCTGCAGTCCATAAACTGACATAAGAGGTAAAGGTAGCCAAAATCCTTAAAAAGAAGAGGAAAGTGGGGAGGTGACAGACTACGGGTAAGACACAAACTTGCTATGAAAAAAAGAGATCAAATTCCTATTCTTCCAGGACAAAAAAAAAAAAATCACTAAATTAAAGCACATCAAAAGTCCAAATACAAATGGAAAGCAACACAGGTAAAAAAAAAAAAAACCAAACAAATCAAAAGAAGAGTTGCCAAAACAGGTGCATCTGGATTTCAAAAGGGAAATATTTTCAGATTAAAAATCTCAGGAATCATCGACCTGACAGGTAGGCACGAGTGATTAATTAGTTTATGTTTAGAGAGCTGCTTCCTGATGAAAAGCGCTGTATAACCCCTGAGCTTTATTACCGTGCAACACACACAGACCAGCATCCATCCACTGGGTGTGTGCATCCCGAGCATCCGACGGACAGACACACGTCCCCGCAGCACAGACCCGAACCCAGCCGGGGACTGTGCAGAGACGGCCTGGGCTCGGCTGCCCGCTAGGAATAAGGCTAGGGAGTAAATAAATAGAAAGGCCAATGTGTCTGAGCAGAACTGATGCTGCCTATTTATCCCTAGAAGGCTGTGCTCAGCCGAGGAGAAGACAAAATGATTGTTTAAAAGCTCCTTTTTTATCTTCCCGGCACTTTCCCTGGCTCCAGCGCACCTCCTGCCAAGATGCCGTGCTCCTCGTCGGCTCCGACCCTCCAAAAAACCCCTGTGACGGGATGCGGCCCCCGTTCTGCCGGCCGGGGGGCTCGGGGTGAGCTGGTACAGGCGGCACCTGACCCGCAGTGCCTGGGCAGCCGACCGCGAAAGGCCCCCACTCTCCCCCGGCTGCTGGCTTTCCCACCAAATTAAAATAAAATAAATTAAGCAGAATGATCCTCGGCGGTCCAGCAGCAAGCTGGAGCCGAGGGGCTGCAGGCGTGCTCCCACCCGTGCCCTGGCATCCCCAGAACCCGCCATTTGCTGCTCCTGATTAAAGAGGGGAAAAAAAAAAAAAAAGAAGAACAAAAAGAAAGATAGCGACTGGCAGCCGGGGGGAGGAAAATTCATGCAAGACTTTCTGTCCTTGGCCGCTTTCCTGCTGGCTCGGCAGCCCCGGGAGCCGTGGCAAATGCCGCTAGAGGGTGCTCGGCCCTCGCCGAGGTCCCCCGCTGCCTCAAAATGCATTTTTTAATATAAATATAGATATATGCACACATGCGAATATATATATATGTGTATATATATTTTTTTTGGGGGGGGGGATGTATTTTAAAAGCAAAGCCAAGCCACGCACCTTGGCCCCACTTGCACCGCTGCGAAACGCTGCCTGGCTGGACCGCAGAGGGGAACTGAGGAGCGCGGCCGTAGCAGGGTCACCGTCACCGACGCCAGCAGCGGGAGCAGCTGGGGACCGCCGAGCCACCAGCCTGCGGTCCGGTCACAGAAGCCACCAGGGTCACGGAGACCCATTCCAGCAGCTGGGAAATGGCTCCCAGCTCACACGCTCGCTCCTTCTCCCTCTTGAGAAAGGTATCACAGCCACGGTGCGCAGAGGACGTCGTCCGAGTCCCAATCCTGGGCTTGGCTTGGTGGCATGGCTGTGGTGCAGGACATGGGGAGGTGGTGGCAGGACTGGCCTCGGAGACAAAGCCGAAAATAGCTTCCCAGCTCCTCGCCTGCCCTGCGATCCAGGGACGCAGGATGGAAACTGCATCGAGTCGCCAAAGCTTTCAGATGCTCCATGGTGTTTCCCACCAAGCTGGGCATCTCCGAGGAGCACCCGCAGAGCAGCCAGCTAAATGCTCACAAGATGGGCAGCCAGCACCCCACACGTGTCTGTGCCCCCACACCACGGTACCTGTGCCTGGTGTCCCCACGTGCTGGGGCAGCCACACCGCCTGATATACAGGCAAGGCGGGGGGCACGGGGCAGGAGAAACAGTCCTTGCCAGACATGGTGCTGGCATATGCCTTCAAAACGGACTGCACCCTGGAGATGGCCTGGGGCTGTGAAGACACCTGAGAAATCCACAAAGGTGGGTTACCATGCTACTCCTGGTCCTCCATGCCACCACCGCCCCTCCCTTATTTGCTCCGTTCTCCTGGGAGCATTCTTCCAAAGCGACCTGAGGAGTCAGCTCAGCACAGGAGCTGAGCACGCAGCCACCCCTCTTCTCCGAGGCCACTCCAAAATGCTTCAGCTTAGCAATTCTTTGCTCTCTACCCCTTCCAAACGCTCCAGATCAGAGGCGTGTGGGCAACACAGGCAGAAGGCAATCAAACATGATGGGGGTGATGGCAGCAGCTTAGCAGGAGACTGTGGCTCAGCAGTGACAACAGAAAAGGATGTTCAAACCTCCAAGCTCTACCTTTCTTCTGGAAAGGGCAATTTATCCTACTGTGGTCAGTGTCGTCAAGCTGAGGAGACATGGGACGAAGGGGCCTGTCCTGGCCAGACTCCCAGCATGGGATATATCCATTCACAAGATGTGGGCTGTGGTGGTACAGCATTCCCCACCGTTTCTCATCCTCATGTCTCCCCTTGGGTGCCGCTGCATGTGTGTGTGCTCATCCCCAGTTAGATGCCAGCCAGGTGGAAGCCAAAGACCAAGCAGAAGACACCAGAGGAGGCTAAGGCAAGGTGGAGCAGTGGGAACAGCCTCTTCAGGGATGCAGTAGGGACATCTTGGAAGAAGAAGACACAGCGAATGACGTGAAGCCAACCCAGGTTGCGATGATGAAAGAAGAGGTCCCCCAGAGCCGGCATGGCTGTTGGTTCCTCAATTCTCTGCTGACTTCAGCAGCCAAAAGCATGGTCCCATAAAATTTGCTGTGACTGCCTGGTTAAGATCCCCTCCAACTACATGAGCTGGCAGTTCCTCTACAGCTCCATTTGCTGACACCACCAGCCAAGGACTGGTCCCAGCAGCTGGATGTTTAAACAAACCCACCCTAAAAAGAAACCTGCTGTGTGGTTTTAATGAGTACGTGAGGAGTGCTCTCCCTCCCGCCCGAGCTGGGCTGCTTCTGGACGGGTTTTCTCATGGTT